TAACTTAAAATTGCTCGTGCTCGGCTCGTTCACTTAACAAACGAGCCGAACACGAGCTACATAACTAACAGAACACGAGCTATTCGTGAACAACAAATTTTTCTATCAGTCCAAGTGGCAAGTCCTCCAATGAAATATATATATGTATATATATAATCTCTTTTTATTACAGATTTTGCCTCTTTAAATATATGAGAACAATGTACTATTTATATAAAAAAAAAATGATCAGATAGCTCTCAATTTAAGCAAGATATTTTGGCATATAATCAACAAATAATCACTGCATCCGCTAGGACTGAGTCTTGAATTAAGGCCGAATACGGCATTAATGGTCAGCGTTCGTTAACATCAATTAATTTATTACATTTTAAGTTTGAATGGATTAAAACGTAAAGAAGAAAAAGTGGGACAATTTTGTCAGTTTATAGTCAGAGTCTGGAACATCACTATCGAGCATGCATAGATCCTTTATTTGGACTATTCATTTTGTTGAATGGTTGCTTGGATTATTGTCAACCTTTGAAATTGTGGTCAGATATAAATCAAGCACCCAGCGGGCACAAGAAGATGTGGGCTGAACTAAGTTTTAATACAAGTTGAATCATTTGTATCGTATAAAATAAACAAATTTTAGTGATTCGGTTGATTGGTCAAATTTAGAGATGAATGGAGATCGGTTTATAGAACTACGCTTCTTACATACACGACTCAAAAAAGGGTAAGAATTTCATAACTTGATTGAAATGATTTTGTTAGTGCGTATATCATAAGTTGAAACTGTATCATTCCTCGTAATTGAAGTAATAATTAATACAATATGATAAATTTGAACTGTAGAAGATGGCTTTTGACAATAGAAGTGGGAGTATGTTTGAGGTATTAGAGTAATTTTTTGTGAGATTATTAGTCGTATTCTCCATCATTTATCTTAGTGAATAGAGGCCAATAACTAATAACATTAGCATAAGTCTTTGTTAGATGTAAGCATTGGTGTTGTTTTTGGGCGTAAGCGTTGATAGTGGCCTTTTGTGATAAACTGATTGACTATGGTGAGTGATGGCTTCACAAACATAAATAGTTGTCGATATTGGTATCAAGGACATGGATGGGCATTTTTAGCAGAGTCGTGAGTTGGTGCTAGTGTTAAAATACAATAACATTAGTATCAATAGATCAACAATGTTCAATGGCCTTATTGATGATGTCAACCATTTACTTTTGTGTCAATGAGGTGTATTAGTCATATTAGCAATGATATGCATCAATGATGATCTCAATGAGAGGCATATATCTTATTAGTGATTGCATGCATCAATGATATTGTTGGCGTGTATTTGTTTTGCATGTAATGGTATGCGTCAACATTTGTGTTGATAATGCACATTAACTTTATTAGTGATGATAGATAGTAATATTGATAGCGATGTCAAGGGATGAACTTGTTGTCATTGATAGACATTGATGTTGATATCAACAACGTGCATCATTAATATTGATGATTGTGGACATTAATATTATTAACAATGGTGAGCGTCTACCAGATTGGCATCAACAAACGTTAACATTAATATTGATGACATACATTGGTTTTATTACTTATAGTGGGAGTTAATGTTGTCAGTAACAATAGGCAATGACATCGATGACTTAATCAGGAGTCAATTTTGTCTATGACATTTATCAATCTTATTAACAATTGTGGGCATCAAAGTTTTTGGTGGAAGCTAATGATGGCATTATCACCATCGGGAGGCATTAGTGTTTGTATCAAAAGTATGTATTAGCCTTTTGTGATGTGAGCATTGACATTATTGACTAACACCTTATTGGTATCAGTGGGCATTAGCATTGGCATTATTGTTGATGGTGTGCAGTGGCTTAAGTTGTGATGATGAACTTATTGACAATGATAGATAATAAAATTAATGAGAGATGACAGTTAGACAGTGACAATTGAGCAGCATAGTTGTTGGCGCTGATTACTTAGTGGAGTTTTAAAATTCTTCAAATCTATGAGCTCTCTCCAACTCAAGCACCTTATTTTATGTGTATTATGTGATTCAATTTATTATCATTATTGTGAAATGACATTATAGTTATTTAGTATAATTCTCCAAATATTTCATTGGACAGCTTATGTTTACTCCTTAATCATAAAAGATTCCTTAGGCATTTAAATGTCTTAATAACATTAAAATTAAGTAATTTTAATCTTATAGGTTTTCACGTATACTCATTTAAATTATATTCATGATTCATAGATTATTTAATTTTTCAAATAATATCATAAAGTTTTTTCCATGCTTCGGGCGCTTAATGTAAGGTCCTTTAGACCAAGGTGAGACACTTTTTGGCGTTGCTATATTCATCTCATTGAGCCATTTGCTTCAAATATAAGTTTGTTAAAAAATGACTTTGGATGGTTTTCTTAAGTCCATCATTAAGCTTTTAAATTTGATGCTACCTTCAAGATGCATGTTTGATCAATTTTTTTTGTTTAATAACATATTAATGCTATTTTTATCAATGTAGTATAATTTATTATATGATATCGATGCTCTCTCTATCTTAAGAAATAATTATAAAAAAACTTAAGATGTTAAAAAATATTCATTTGAAAATTGGGTAGAGGGGTGATAGAGCTTAGAGTTAGCTATACATTTTGTGACACTATATATGGTCATATATAGTCATGTTTCTTCAAAAGAATATAAATGAAATGAATAATTGGTGTTAGAATACATTGCTTGAGGAAACATTGTTAAGTTAGGCTTGTTATGCTATTATACATAGAAGGTTTGGTTGTTATTCATTATAATATTATAATTTGAGCAATAATCAAGCTTCAATAACAAATTTAATTGGATTTTTTCCTTAACCTTCCATCATTTTGGTATCCGGAAAAATGGCTCAAATTCAATGAATTTTTTTATCCCTCTTCTATAGAATTCCTTTTGTAAAAAATTTCATGGCATCTTGTATCCTTCATTGTCATTCATTTCCAAAATTTCACCACTCATGCTCGTACCTCTTCAAGTGAAAAGATGTTAGTGTTTATCTTATTTAGCTTATAGCTATTTACATTTATGTATTTCCTACCTTTTCTCTTACATTTATATTTTGCACAACTTGTTTCCTTTTACTAACCATTACAAGTTTGCTTTCATTTGCATTGCTATATCATTCCATTATTAACTTAATTATATATGGTGTTTTTAAAGACAATAAGAGTTGATGCAAGATAAAGTGCAAATTTTTTATGCATTAAATAATTTGAAGATGCAATTTTATTTTTAAGATATTTCCTCTCATAATAAGACCTTTTTTTTTTTTACAATTTTATCAAATTTTAAAATATTGAATGTCATTTGAGCCAAACAGTTCAAAAATAAATTAATTCAAGTTGCCAGATAAGAATCTGCCATGCAAAATAAATCAAACATAAATCAAATAATGTCTAAAGAATGATAATTCAACTATAGAAAGAAGGGAAAGCTTCTTCTTATGGCTACAGAGCTACATTCATGATCTTTTCTTATGCAGAAATGGAAACACACTTGCAAATTACATAATCATCATTCCAAAAGAAGAAAATGAAAGTGAAGTTAAATGAATCATGCTTAAGGGTGGAAGATGAGGAATCAAGTGCATGCACATTCTCCTTTTAAATGTAATTGTAATAACATTAAAATTCCAGAATCAAGTGCATGCACATTCTCCTTTTAAATGTAAGTGAAATAACTTTAAAATTCCATCATGGTAATATGAAGGAAATGAATTGATATTGGAACACCTTTTTTTTTTTTTTTTTTTTTTTTTTTTTTGGGTGGAAAGCTATGCATACTCATGTAATCTTTGGGAAGAATATGAAGGAAATGAATTGATATTGGAACACCATACAGATTCACAATGTAGTTAGGTTAGGCTTAGTTGTCTATTTCAATGGAGATAGAGATGCACATGAGGTTTGTTTTTTCTTTATCTTTTTTTTTTTCTTTACATGTGCTAATCATTTTTTAGATACTCCTGAATTATTTCAGGAGGTAATCATTAATTTAACATTATTCTTGATTAACTCATTGCAATGATGTGCCATGAATATTGTTATTGGCTAGAGAGCATCACTAGTTTGATTTTTAACAAGACAACTTGGACAAAGATTCCCAAGCTATTTTGTTTGGTGAAAAAAAAAAATGAAATATTAAAATAATGTATTATATTGAAAATATTTTTAGAGTTGTTTCATTCAGTATTGAATAAATGCAAGACTACAAATTTTCTTCTTTTATTCAAAAAAAAAAAATAAATTCAATATAAAATAGACTCCTTAAGGTCAGCGGCGTCAACATGCTGGAGGCAATGACATCACTTTATACAAAGCAGTATAGTTTAAATTTTTCCTAAATTGAATGAATTTCAAATACATTGATGGTCCCATCACTGGAGGCATTTTACATTGCTTGTTCTCGTTCGACCAAATGTTTAAATTTTTAAAATCTCTGCTACAGAAATACAATACACTCATTTTGCTGCTGACCAAACAACTGCCCAGTACACACTAAACTCCCAATTCTGTACTCATATATAATACCATAAACATAAGTGTGTAGAAACCATAGCATTAAGCACGAATATAAAAGGGGTACGATACGCATGCATCTAACAAACAGCACAAAAAGGCGCACAAACAGAGCAAAAAGAGTCTCTCTTTATATATATATGTGTGTGTGTGTGTGTGTGTGTGTGAGTGTGTTCGATCCCCAATAGTGCCGGGTTCTTGAATATTTAGGCACATGACGCGGGCTCTTATCATGGGGCCTAGCATATGGGAAATCGGTATTTGGGTCTCTACCAAATACCGATTTCTTTATTTACATATATATATATATATATATATATATATTCAAAAGTGAAACAACATTCCGAAGTACAGGAAAACAAATTTATTTGATGAGATGAAATTTAATGGGAGACACCATAATTATCACATTTACTGATAAATAAAAGTTGATGGGATAGAATGATGATTTGAAGCTGGAAAACAGAAACAGGTTCTTCAAATAAAACTAAGAGGAAACCTTAACGAAAGCTGAACGAACTTATTCCCACAGTTCCAGGCCTCTTAATTTCTGACAATGAAACTACTGCGTTACAGGGAGAGCGCAGTGATGGCCTTGAGATTCCCCAACTTTATGTACTATGTGGAATAGATTCTTTGCACAGGATTATTAATTAATGAGGGGCTTTCAGTAAATTCAAAATTATTGAGTGAAACATGAACCTGCGCCAATTGGAGGCTGGCGTGCATATAGATTGGTGACTGGGGCTGCTGGGATTCCGCGGTAGTTCAGCAGACATCTAAAATATTGAAGCCGGGGTAGAACAGTAGCGTTCAGATTATCTGGACTGGTGGCCTCCCTTGGACTCCACAATCGTTCTGAAGAAAATTGGCAGAATCATATTCAGAACACAATGTCCTCTTGCATGTAGTGTTTGTCAAAAAAAAGTTTATTGATCACGAACAACTCATGTTTGATTCATTTGCCAAACAAAGGAGTTGGACACAAATAATTTTTTTGAATTTGATTTATAAAAGAGCATAATGCAATCATTTTGTTTTCAGTTGTGCTAAAGTCTTTTTAGCACGAACAATTCTTATGTATTTACATATCTCTCATCAAAACTTTCATATTTATAAACATATTACTTGAAAATGTGTATTTCACTTTTAAAAAGTGATGATAGTGTTATTTTTTAGGTGAGAATAAAGATTTGAATGCTACGTATATAAATATGAAAATTTTGGTGTGGGATACGTAAATAAATAAGAATTTTGTGCTTTGTATGTAAATGCCCAATAAATAAATAAATAATATTATCATTATAACATTTACTTTATTTTTTATGTTATATTTAAACAAATGTTAAATTTTAACATTTTTATATCATTCGAGCTAATTTCAAGCTGAAATGAATTGAAATAAGCAAACTAATTTGAATCGAACCGAACAAGAACATCTTATTTACAAGTCATTTCAAACACAAGCCTATTTCAACAAAAAAAAAAAACAAACGGGCTAACATGAACAAGATTTGAGCTCTCACATAAGTTCGGTTCATTTAAACCCTAATTGCAACAAAATGAGCCTAGGATACTAAACCAATCATTATTTTGTACAAAACAGGTTATAAAAAAGGGAAATAATATGACAAAAATTTGCGATTTCAATGTAAGAAAAGGTAAATATGTATGCATGATAGATTGATATCCGGTAAAATATGAAAAGCTTTACCTGCTGCTGCAGCTGCACGCGGCCAGATTGTTTGAAGAACATCAGATGTATCAGCTGTCTCACCCCACATACAAACTTCTCCCCCTAAAACAAGCTTTTGTTGCAGAGTATCATTAATTCCTTCTAATGGTTCGTTGGTGTAGAAATTTTCCCAAGGAACATCTAGATGATCCAGATACCACACCCCTTGGTTGCTTACAATACATCTAAAACCCATTGCAACAGCTTTTGGACAAACTCCAGGACCTAGCCTGTCAAAACCAACCATCCAATATATTTTGCAAAGAGTAAAAAGTCAAAATAGTCCACTGGTTATTTATATGAGGTCATCGTAGTCCCACAGTATATATAAGTATCAATTTCGTCCGTTCACAATTTTAATATTGGTCGAAATAATCCCCACAAAAGACTATTTGAAAACTATTTCAGTCCCAATTTAAAGAATCCGGAGATTAATTTGACGTTTTTATAGACTCTGGACTAAAATGAAAAATTTCTTTTATGACATTATAACATTATAAAAGACAGAGAGATTATAGTACGTCAAGTAACATCAAGAGTTTTTTACATAATTTCTACTTTTAAACTTAAGTGTGATAGTTTTCGGAGATTAATTTGACGTTTTTATAGACTTTAGACTAAAATGACTCCAAACAAACAATCAGGGGACTATTTCGGCACTTTAATCGTGAAAAGAAGGCATGAATCTAATTAGAAATTCATCACAGATAATTATGATGCAGTAAAAACTGAGAGTTCATTGTCAAAACTGACCAGTTATGCACCACAGTCTGTGGGTTGAGGCTTTTGTTAAACGCGTTAAATGTTTCTTCCCTGAAGATTGTTGAAAAAGCACATCTTCGGCTACATCAGCTGTTTATTTTATGGGGCATTTACATAAATAGCACATAACTCTTATGTATTTACATAGCTAACACCTAAAATTTACTTTTTACATTTATACCATCCAAATCTTTCATATCAAAATACCACTGTTTTGTCTTTTAAAAAGTAAAAAACACCTTTTGATGCATAAGGTAAGGAGGCATATATGTAAAAATTAAAATTTTAGGTGTAAATACAGAGGAATTGAGTGGTATGTATGTAAATATTCCTTATTTTATTGATTCTGTAACCTTAAATTTAGCACTGAAAAGAAGCTTCATACCAATTGACCGGGACCCAGTTAAGAGATAATGCAATTTCTTGAGCTCTCAATACAAAGTAACGGTAGGCATCATTCGTTGTTTCGTTTCGTTGCTCAAGCCTGCACAAACAGTAGTACATGTAAAAGTTTAAACCTAATTGCATCGTTTCGTCAATTAAAAGATCATGAAAGAATACGGATCTGTTTGGGGCAGCTGCAGCTTATCCAGCTTCTGCTGATAAGCAGCTTATCCTGATAATCTACTGATGAGCAGCTGATCCAAATAAGCTGGCTGGTTGTTTGGTTTGTGCATTTAGAAAACAGTTGATTCTGGATAAATGACTATTTTGCCTCTGTTGTGGATAAGTTGTTTAGCCGTTTGGTTTGTGCACTTTGTAAACAGTTTATTTGCAGACTTTTTAAGTTAAATGAACAATTTATCACTTAGAATTTGTAATTTTCTCAATAAAATTAAAGTTCAAATGTTAATACATAAAAATACAAAAGAGTTTAGTTACATTTATATAACTCAAAATTTTTCTATCATATCAAAGAAGCACGGTTACATATACAAAAGTAAAATACATCTTCACTTACTAATATGTAGTATAATGAGACAAAAAAAAGAAAAAATAACATGTTAATGACTAACCACATTCGTTACATCATGCACAATTATAGTCGCTGCGGCACCCCTATAATACATCTGAGCTAAACTACGATATCTCTTCTGTCCAGCAGTATCCCAAATCTCAAATTTCACAATTTGATCATTAACTACCAAAGTCTGTGAAAAAAAATTGACTTGTCGGTTCCCACATCTCTTAACACATCTCTTAAAAGTAACTGTTTTACCCAAAGTCAATGTTAAAAATCCAACAACGGGGATTTAATCAAAATTGTCATCCTGCTACAGAAGACTAGTTCAAAACCATAAAGAAGAAGAAGATTTTCATTTCAATATTGTTCTTTACCATCAACACAAAACTATAATAAGAAAATTTTACAATCCTGCGAAAAAAGTTAAAGAAGGGAAACAAGGCGATATAAACGAATTTAAATGAAAACTAAAGTTTGATTCTTGTCAAAAAATACATTTAATTTGAAAAATTTTACTTAAATCTATTTCCGCCAACATAAAAACAAAAAAGAAACCAAGAATGTAGTGCATGTAGGACAAGTACCCAGCGGTTCTGATGCAAAAACAAAATCAAATCCGAAAATTTTCAGATTAAATATGCAAACTATAAGAAATACCAAAGATTGATCGAAAAAATACTCACCAACTTGGCATTGTTTACCTGTTAGGAATGTCGAAGGAGCTGCGAACGACAGGGGTGGAATAGACGAGATGGTTGCGAGTGCGAACGACAGAGGGTAGATCGGAATGCTGAAGGAAGCAGGGAGAGGCTAGGGATCGCGAGCTAGGGCAGAGAGGGCGGATTCACGATTGCTTCTGCTGTTAGGAATGTCGAAGGAGCTGCGAACGACAGGGGTGGAATAGACGAGATGGTTGCGAGTGCGAACGACAGAGGGTAGATCGGAATGCTGAAGGAAGCAGGGAGAGGCTAGGGATCGCGAGCTAGGGCAGAGAGGGCGGATTCACGATTGCTTCTGCTGTTAGGAATGTCGAAGGAGCTTCAGACGACGGAGGGTGGAATAGACGAGATGGTTTCGAGTGCTAACGACGGAGAGTAGATCGAGCGAGGAAGCGGAGAGAAGAAGGGCACTGAAGAGCGGAGAGGAGAAGGGCACCGAAGGAAATATTTTCGAACGCCAACTCAAAAACGCGGGCCACGAGGTCTTTGGCACGGTTGGCGCCCTCGTTTATTAACAAATCAAATAAGCTGTTTTTAAAACGCAATCGAAACGTGTTAATCAAACAGGACAGCGGCATTTTTGAAAACGCCGCCGCACTTATAAGCTGCCCCAAACAGGCCCTATAGCTGCTTATCAGCTTATTTTGACTAAAATTCAATTAAGATATTCTCAATTGAAGTTCAATTAAAATACTAGTAAATTTTAGGGAAATTTGGATAAAATACCATACTACCATTGTATTTACATATCTAAAACCTAAACTAAACTTTTTATATTCATACCTCTAAAATCTTTTATATCATATAGAAAATATCACTATTTTAACTTTTAAAAAGTGAAATGCAACTTTTCATACATAGGTAAAATGACATATATGTAAAAATTGAAGTTTAGGTGTTAGATATATAAATACATAGGAATTAAATGGTACGTATTTTAAGCCAAAAATGCTCAACACCACTAGAGCTGTCAAAACGGCTCGTTGTTTGCAAACTGCTCGTGTTCGGCTCGTTAAGAAGCTCATGTTCGGATCGTTCGCGAAGTTAATGAGCCGAACACGAACAACACGAATAAATTTTTGTTCGTTTGTGTTCGGCTCATTTTTGCTCAAAATACTACTAATCAATTATATATATATCTTTGATGAGTAGTATTTTTAAAAAAATTAATTAACTAAGGCTACAAAGATTTATAATCAATTAAAAGTATTAATAAAAAAAATAGAATAAAAATTATTAAAATTAGATTCAAATGATATTTTAAATCTTGCCCCAATCCTTAACATCTTATGGCTACGTGATTAGGGTTGTCAAAACGATTCTTTGTTCGTGAACGGCTCGTGTTCGGCTCGCTAAGCAAACGA